GTGAATGGCAACTGTTTGCTCTGATACCTGTGGATTTTGGGGCACCTGATAGTGGGTATTGGGTGTGTTTTCTGGGAGGAGTTGGAGGGAAGGAGAAGTCTCATAAAAAGCATTGCATATCTATGGGATTACCTTTTTAATCCAAGGGGCAAAGGAGAACTGCGGTCTCTATTGCGCCCGGTGCCAGAAAAGCTTCCGCATGGGACTCTCAGAGGTCAGCCGCTTGAGTCTGGTTTGGACCCTGCTTGTGTTGAATTTCAGCCAGCAAGTCTCCGGCATAGGGAGAATTTGAGATTTCTCCCTCCCCCATTTCTTCTCTTTTTGTTCAGTGTAAACAGTTCCTGCCGTAGAAACATAGACAAATATAGCAGAGAATGCTTTTCTGGAAGAAGAATGCTCCCTAAGCATTTTTTAACCATTTTTGGGAAGAATTGATCTTTGTGTGTATTTCAGACAGACTGAAAGAGAGGGAGGGGCCGATGCTGTAAATTGAAGTGACATCATAAGTATTGCCCCCATTGATCCGCTTTTAGTCTCCAGCCAGGATAAAAGGAAATGGCATCAGGGAGGAAGCATGCTTCATTTAGGCACAGATCCCAGAGTGATAATGGGGTAATAATAGAACTCACGCCACTGTGGGTCGGAGGCTGCATTAGTCTCAGGCTCCTTCCTTGTCTGGGAGCCGCTCAGAGACTTCCTTCGCTGCCGCCCGCGCCGGCTGGGCCTTGAGGGAGGTGCCCTCCCGTGTCTCTGGAGAGGGGTGGACAGGGGGGCTCAGATGTTGTGCACCCCGTTCCTTGGGTCGGGACCTGCCTGCACAAGGTCAGTGTGAGATGCGTCGGTGACCTTTTCTACAGGAAGCGAGCTGGCCTTTTCGGATCCTGCTAATGGAAGGAACGGCAGAGGGCCAGTCGCATGGGTGGTCCTTCTGGAATCAGGAGTGAGTGGCGTCCCTGACAGCAGGAAGGGGCTTCTGGAGGAGTCAGGGTGTGCTCTTTTTTGCCGCTTGTAGACTGGGAGGGTGGGCTTGGAAAATTCATATTTTCTTTCCAAGAGTCTAGAAACTTCAAAAGCTATTCAGTTGTGTGGCTTGCCTCAGTTCTTAAGTTGACTGTGAAAAATACCAGGTAGACTTTGTTTTGTAAATTTCTGGGCAGTTAGCAACTATGGACTCCTCCTCATTCAGCGCAAGAATACAGACCACTAAATCCGTAACAAATGGCATTTGCACTGCCTGACTCCTTTAGTATTTTGGGTTTTTTTTGTATTTGAATAAGCTTTACAGTGTTGTGGAATTCTCTATTTCAAGTACCCACATGACTTTGGCACCTCGTAGCCTTGTTTTGTCTAAGTGTTGAGGCAGATGCATTTTAAAAATACCAAACTGGTTTCCATGTGGAAAAAATAATAACTCTTTGTGCAAGGAAAGGACTTTCTACTCCCGTTTCTGTCGAATGTGGCTGTGAGCACCAGTAGACCTTCAGAAATAAAGGCAAGTTCTTTTTATAATGCTTGTCGGAGTTGCTTTCTAATGAGATCATGCTCTGAACCGGGCACAGTATTTTTCTAATCACTTTGTACTGTGACTAAAGCCATGTTCGTCTCAGAACTGCTGTACTAAAACACGGGGGGCCTGGAAGTCACTTGACGTTTAATTTGATTTCCGTGTCTGAGCAGGGGAATGACCCACACATTTCCCGTCCCCACTGCACCATCTGAGCACATTGGAAGTGCATCTCTCTCAGTTGCTTTGCAAACTTTTGGTTTATTACATAGTATTTTTTCTTTCATCATATGGTGTTTTTACAGGGATTAAATGATTATTTTTAAAAGAGAAATGTTCTCTACTTACCACACTTTTGCTTTAATATCCTCTTCTAAGGTCTGTAATCTAAAAATTGTGTAATGTTTACTTGCTCATTGGTGAATGAAGGATACATAATTAGTTTTATTGTCTATACTAAACTATTTGATCACTGATTTTTCTCCGTTTTTCTCGTTGCTTAGAAACTGTTTTTCCCTGGAAAATTAGAAGCGTTGGAGTTGAAAGGCAGGTGACTACAAGTTGTTAACTGAGTGAGACTCCCTTACGCAAGCCCATTCTGGAGTGGGCCGGGCAACCCTGGGGCATTACGCTTATGGAGGGAGGGCCGTTCTCACGCCTGCGTGGGGTCCTCTGCCTCCTTCCACCTCTGAACAGGCCGGCTCTTGCCACAAAGCAGTCCGTGGCGCCTCCGTGCCCAGGAGGGCTACCTGGAGCACTGTGTGCGTGCCTGTTCTTTACCTCTCTCTAATTAGAGCAATTAAACTTATTAAAAACCTCCTCCGTTCCATCTCAGCTGTTTATCTTTAGTCAGGGGCTTAGCTTTAAGTGTTTACCATTGTGTAAAATCGGGAGAGGACAGACGCGTTCAGGGATCCTTTTGTTCGGTCTCTGTGTGTAGATGCACGGACTTCTGCTTAGAGAAAGGTCATAAGACATAAAAGGTGACTCCAGATGTTTCCATGGGCTCACATAACCGTGATTCTTCCATTTCAAACTGGAATTGGTTTATTGATTGAGCCCAGTTAGGTGAAGTCTAGGACTGAGCTAATCTTCCTCAGGGGCTTCTTTCCTCCGTGGGTCTCTGGTTTAAGTTCTAACAATAGGCCTGTTTGTAAGTGTGGACACAGAATAGAGGGATGCTTTTCTTTCTCCTCTGTCTTCGCTGCAATTCTGCCAGTTGTCCAAGCTGGCTTATTCAGTGAACCAGACCCTACCCCCAGCCGCTGGGTGTACTTGCCCTTTCCCAGAACCCATCTTCTGCACCCGGTGTGGCCTCCCCATTTGAGCGCCTGCTACCCTGGGCTTGGCTGCACCAGTTTTGAGAATGCTGTGGGGCTCAGGGCTGGGCGGCCACTCTGACCCAGTCTGGGTTCCTGTCCTCCCCTCCTCTCTCCACCACCTATTGAGGCAGGTGGGCTGCTGCTCAGGGGTGCCCATGCCAGGCCACCTCAGGGTAGTGGTTGTGTGGACCATACTTGGGAAAGGGATGACTAAGGTAGAAGAGACTTTAGTGGGGGATAAAGGTCAAGCTCTGTGAAGAGGTTGGAAGGCAGCCAGGGAGTGACCTGAGGGGGCACTCTGGGTCAGGCTGGATGAACCCCTCCCGTCCCCAGAGACCTCAAGGAAGGCAGATCCAGAGGAGGAGGCTGGAGGGCAAGATGGACAGGAAGGAGGGCCAGGCAGCCTGGGCGCTGGCCGAGCCGCCGAGCCTGGGGTAGAGCACCCTGACTTCCCACCAGCCACGGGCTCGTGCTGTGGCCGGGTCAGGAGGCTCCAGAGGCTGGTGGCCCTGGATTTCTCTTAATATTGTAAAAGTGGGCTCATGTTCTAAAACTATAGAAAATGGAAAACTGGCTTTTTTTGTTTCTGGTTGTTATGTAGTAACACCGGAATTTGTGCACAGGTAGGCCTGGCCAGCAATCAGGGCTGATTGGGGCCTTCCGGCTGCCAGCTAGAGCCTTCCTTCGTTTTGCACCATCCTCTGGGAGTCAGTGCGTGTCATAGCGAGCAGTCAGTCTCCTGTTAGCCATATATGTGTGTATATATGTGTTATTTTAAAGTATCTTATAGGCACGTGACTCCCCTGGAAGGAAATTGTCAGTTGTCTCCAAGTCCCTGGGGGCTTCGTGTTGGTTGTAATTCTCTGTGTTAGCTGAGGGCACCTGATTCCTCCTGTCAGCTGGAGGCGGTCCACAGGATCGTAGGTGATGTTATGAAGGAAAAATGCCCAAGAAGCCAGGGTGTGCCTGTGGGGAAGAGGGATTATAGTAGAACTTAGGAGGGTGGGGTGTGGACATACAAAACATGCTTTCTTTGTGGAATTTCATGGTGAGCGTTGTACCTGCGGTTCACCTGGTTTCCCCATGTGCATTCTGAGGGAGGGGGTGCAGGCAGAGTGCACACTTGGGGGCAGAAAGGTAATGAGAGGTGGGGAGAGATGCCAATAATGTTTAAAATTTCTTAGGAATAACAAAACGAAGGAAGGCTCTAGCTGGCAGCCAGTGTTCTTGTGAATGTTCTGTTGGCCTAGCATGGATTTGCAGACTTGTAAGTTTGGGCTCAGTAACAGATGCTCAGGACATAAGTCGGGAGGGAGTAAGGCTGAATGGCGAGAGTAGTGGCATTCATAGTAATAATATTAAAACCTCGGTTCTAGAATATTTTTCAGCTCCTCCAAAATGTATTTAAAATGCATTCTTTCCTCCTTTTATAGTGTGTGAGAGCTCTCTGCTCTAGGGGCGAAACTAGGCATTGTAGCACATCATGACTAAGACTCTACCTTCTTGGATTCCCAGTGTTTGTTCATAAACCGTTCATTACTTTTGTACCATATAAAAACGCCCTCCTCTCTGTCCTTTACTATATAACACCAATTTTTACCTACCCTGTGTGAAAACTTAGGAGTATGGGTGAGCGTGTGTGTGTGATCATATTTACAACATATTAAAAAATTGTAATGGAATAATAAACATGATTTTTATAAGGGAGTGTTTGTGAGACATGCTCTCCATTTCTTGGTACACATTGGCAAGGTTCCAGTGGTGAGAAAGAAACTCTGAAAGCAGCTTACTTCTGTTAAACTCCCATGCCTAAGATCAGGAGGTCCCTGGAATCTTGGTCTAGGTTAAATGACATTTTTGGCGTATGTTTGCCATAAAGAAAGGAATCTAATTAACCATGAGGATGTTTTATGAAGATAAATATCGTTTTTGTCATTTCACAGTGTCTGTATATTAAAATCATCACATTGTACACCTTAAACACACAACCTAAAAAAAGGTACATAAGGTTTGCTCTGTTCTGAGGGTACAAGGTAAGTCCTGAGGTCGGCCAGAGTCCTCTGACACTTGCTGAATACCTGGCCGCCCTGGGCTTGCTGTCTTTGTTCTAAATGTCTGTGTTTTAGTCCTTGTAAGCTGAACGGCATTTTCACTGGCTATTTGTGTGCCCTCAGCTCCTTCCAGATCAGCTGGTCTTACTTCTGGAGCATCTGTTGGAGCAGAAGACCCTGAACCCCAGAACTCTGCGGAGCCTCGAAAGGACATACTGCCTCTCCCAGCAGGATGCAGAGGTAACAGGACTGCCCTCAGCGCAAACAGTGGGCCCTCTTGTTGTGAACAGAGTGGTCCAGAGCTTCCCAGACTGTGGAACTGCATTGTGATTTCCATCAGCAGTGCCCCCCCCCCTCCCCTGCTGTGTGGCTGTGAGTGAAGAGCAGACCCTTGCAGCCAAGTGGAAGCTGCTCCCTGGTCAGGCTCCCTCCAGCAGGGGCCCCCCAGGACCTGCTTATTACCGGTTTTCCCTCTTTAAACCTTAAGGAGGGACACAGTCTCCTAAAGGAATGTGCGAGGCAGGGTGGGGTGCTCCTGAGTTACAGACTGGGGCGGTCAGCTTTGCGGGCTGGTGGCGCCATCCTGCTGCTTGTGGGGAAATGGGAGGCCCGTGTGCCAGAGCTGCGCGGTCGCCTTCAGCCAGGACAAGGAGGGAACCATGTGTAACGGAAATGAAAACGAAATCTAACAGCTGTGGGTTGAAAAGCAAAATTGGATGCTTGTGGGAAAGCAATATGATGTGGTTCGTAATACCGTTTAGCTTCTTGTAAAGAATACACCATGAATCCTAAGATGAGTGCCAAGGGTTTTTGTCTATAAAATAATTAATGTATTTAGTCATCTTAAGTAAAATACAAGAAAAGTTCTGTTATGTAAAACTCCTAAAATGCAAGTAAGTTTGGTTTGTGTTCAGGTGAAAATAACTGAGCATTTAAAAACTGCAGTTTTTCAGGGTGCCCATCAGGCACACATGGCTGTTGATCCCTTGATCTGTGGCTCCGGGTGTGAAAGGAACAGTGGATACTAAAGACGTAGCATGAAAAAAAAAGCAAAATATCCTATTAGTAATTTCTTCTTGTTGGTTAAACTGTCAAAATGATATTTTGGGTTAAATAAAATGCTATTAAAATTAATTTTACAATCATTAAAACAGGGTAAATGGAGAAAATATAGCTTATTATTAGATTAAACTGTAAGTTGGACATAGCTTTACTTTTTTTTTTTTTTAATCCTTACCCAAGGGCATGTTTTCATTGATCTTTTTTTTTTTTTTTTTTTTTTTTTTAAGAGAGGGAGGAAGGGAGGGGAAGAGAGAGAGAAAAACCAGCTGAGTAACTTGGAAAGGACCATTGTTTTACATTTTAAAATTCAGTGAATTCAAGAGTTAATTGAAAACCTTCAGAGAAGACACCTATAGCTTCAGAAGACACAGATCAGATGTGCTGTTTATTTCAGCTCTTATATTTTAGTGTTTAAAGATGTTTCTATATACAGACATGAGGTTACGTTTTAACCAGCTGAATACCACTGAAATGCCAGGCCCCCGTGACGGGCAGTGAACAGACGAAGGCGGGAGGATCAAAGCAGGCCCGGGCACCTGTCACTCAGCCGGAAGCCATGAGCTGGTCGACACTATTTGCTCCCCTTCCTTTTGGCATAAAACATGTCACGTTCTTAACTTACAGCTCAGTTTAGTTGTTTATTACCTCCCAAACCTTTGGAAAGCGTAACAGGTGTTATTTGGTTGTTTGTCTTACAACTCACAAACTACACCATGATGCCTAAGCCAGGCGTCTCCTCTGCCTGGATCCTGGGGGCAGGAGACCAGGGCCTGAGCTGATTTTGGTGTCACACAGTTCACTAGTACCGTGCCAGGTACTAGGGACACAGCAGGGGGCACCACAACTGGGGGCCACCCTGAGGAAATGTAGGTTCTTCTGGAAAGACAGTGCATAAGTAAATAAACAAAACACTCTCAGGTATGAATGACACTGGAGGCATACAGGTGACACTGGGCTGGTTGTCTCTAGATAGAGCACTTGGGAAAGACCACACAGACAAGTGGCATTCGGGGCAGAACCCAAGGGGCCAAGGGTAACTTTCATACAGAGGCAGCAGCAAGTGCCACCGTGGGAGCTGGCATGTGCTAGGACGGGGGTCAGCAGGCTTTGTAAAGGAACAGATAGTTAATATTTCAGGCCACACGGTTCCTGTCCCCACTGTGCACCTGTGCCTTTGTAGCTTGGAAGCTGCCAGAGAGACATGCAAACAAACAGCCATGCCCATCTGTCAGTAAATCTTTATGGACTCTGCAACTTGGATTTCATGTAATTAGCACGTCTCGAAATAATTCTTTTTGTTTTTGTCGTTCCTCCTTTGAACTGTTTTAAAACATAGACAGCACTCCTAGTGAGGGAGCTGATTGGGTCTGCCCCATCTGGAGTTGGTTGACCCCTGTGTGGGGGTGGGCAGGGGCCTGGCCGAGGGGGGCCTGGAGGCCTGGGCCCCGTTGGGCTTTCATTGTAACGGGGTGCCTCCTTCCCCAGCTCTCTCGTCCTGACATGTGGTAGGTAGTTGCACTGGCAGTCCATCTCACTGGTGTTTCCTTGAAATGTCACTCGGAAGCAGAAAAGCATCAAGTTTTCTAGAAACATGATTGGTTACGTGTGATTTATTGTGACACTGATTAGCAAGAATTTAGTAGAATAACCATCTGCCCTTATTTTAAGTGACAGAACATTTCATGGAAGAAAGGATTACGTTTTGGTGAGAAAAGTCTTGAGGGCTCTGACTTCATTCTCAGTGCTTCTCCTTGGCTGAGCCAATAGGAACAGTGTCTTTCAGTCATTATCAGGGCTCTCAAATGTGTAATAAATGGCAGGCTCTTCAGAGCTGGCGGAGACCCTAGAGTGCGGCAGGCTGTGCAGCGCCCTGGGGAAAGTGCTCTGTGCAGGCGCCCCCTCAAGCCCTGGGACCGGAGTGCTGGATTGGGTGTCTGCGAACCCCAGCACAGAGCAGGGAGTGCATGCGACCGGGGCGGGGTGTTCCCCGTATTTCCTAAGGCATAGAAGGCCCCTTCCTCTCCTTTGGACTGGCGTTTTTCCCGAGAGCACATGCTCATGGGAAGTCACTTTCTGAGGGGTGAGCCTCTTATTTCACATGTGTCCTTGAAGCTGAGTCTCACTGCTCACTCCCGATCACCCGTCTCTTCAGAGCTCTTGTTGGCAGGCGACCGCCTGTCCTAGCACAGACCGGGGCCTCCGTTCAGTAGCTGCTTCAGCTGCTTCTCCGCCACCACCCCCCTTGTCCCTTTCCTCCTCCTCCCTTCTCCCACTGTGTGTGTGGACAGGTGCAAGTCCATTGGGAAGTTTATTTTTAATAATTCTCTTTATGTGGCTCAGTATTTGGGTTACTTGTGTTGCTCTGGGCTTGGTTGTGTTCACAGGATGTCTGGTCTGGTCCCAGAGTTTCTGAGCACGATGCCTGGTCTGTTGCCCACCAGCTTTTTTTACATCTGAGGTAAAAAAAGGTAGGTTACACGGCCTGTCCTCCAGGTGATGTGAATCCCCAGGTCTGCTCTGGGCAAAGGGATACCACGTGTTCAGAGTCTTAGAGGAAAAGTGCATAAGGACGAACAGAATGAAGCATCCATCCTAAACCACCCCCTGTGGCCACTCCGCCTCTGGAAAGTGGGCTCTGCGGGGATGCTCGGCTCCTGGGCCTGGAGAGGAACCTGGCTGTGGGGTCACCACCTCTTACATCCTGAGTCCGACACGACTAGCCAGATGCCAGCGCCTCTCACCAGGACGGAAAAGGAGCTGAATATTTCTTTGTTTTTGAGCAGATTGGCTCAACCAGAGCCATAAAAGTTTAAAAATATATTGGACATGGATTCTTGGAACAAAAGACGTTTTCTAAGATCCCATTTTAAGTCATGGATTTCTGCCCTCTGTAGCAGGCTCCTCAGCTGTAAAAGAGCTGGGCCCTGGGAGTGAGCAGAGATCCATGGGAGTGTGGCTGCGTGACCTTTTCCCCGAGCGCATGGCTGGCCCTGAATCAACTTTATTTCCACAGACTGCAGTTAGGCACTTCAAAATTGGGGACCCACCTCAAGTTAATTTTTTGAAAGTTCAGAAACAGCAACTCATCACCTTAACTGTCTCAGAGGGAGGAAGTGGAGGACATGGCTTAGAAAGACCCCACGGTAGCGTGCCTCGCTCTGATGTTGTGACAGGTGGATTGAGCAAGAAAGTAATTCTGTGGGAGAAGCCATTACCGGTTCGTCCTCTCAGTGTGTGTGGGGAACACTGCTGATTGAAAGGAAGAGCCGCCTTGGTCAGGTTGGAATGCAGAGTGAGGGGATTGTGTCCCTGATTTTCTGCCAGTCGGTCTGTCGGGCACCACCTGTGCCTGGCCCCATGTGAGAAGGCAGATACCTGCTCGTGAGCGTGTGAGCAACTCTTCCGTGTTTTGATCTCATGGAGCGCCCAGGCTGAGCACCTGGTGTTGGCCCAGGCATTGGTTTCACAACCAATGGACGTGGGCCCAGGTCCCAATACATTGCCCCCCGCCCGGCCCGTTTTCTTCGACTGCATAGTAGAACCTAGACAAGGCTGCTGGCTCCTGGCTGCTTGACTGCAGCCAGGTGGCAAAGAATGTTTCATGGCACCGTCTTAACTCTTATATTTTCTATTATTTCCTGTTCCATTTACTTAAAAAAAAAAAAAAAGTGCATTGTGATGCAGCAAATTGCTTTTAAAATTCCTTAACCCCTTCACAGGATTGTCATGAGAAAAGTTGGTGAGCATCCAATGTCATGTGACTTCTATTGAGATATTCACCATCACTCAATTGGTATAAAATGGTCAGATTTTATTTTTCAACTGATTTTTTTTAATTTTTAATCTATCAGGAATGACAGGGAGAAAAGTATAATCTACCCAGCTGTTAGAGCTCCGAGGCACCTGGTAAACTCTAACGGGGTGGGGGACGCCTTGCTCTGACATGTGCATGGATCATTGCCGCTGGGGGTGGGGGCTGTCCTGTGCTGTGCATTGTTGGGTGTTTAGCAACCTGGTGTTTGCCCGTGAGATGCCAGTAGTAGCCCACCCCAGTTCTGGCATCAAAATGTCCCCAGAACATTGCCAAAGGTGTAGTGCAGGCAAAACCGCTCCAGTTAGAACACAGCTCCAACAGCCACTGCTTCACAAAGAAAAGTGTTTTCACCTCGTCTCGCAGTGCCGGCCACGGCCACAACAGCCAGGCTAGGAAGGTGGCAGCAGCTGTGAGGCCACCCTGCGCAGAGCCCAGAGAACAGAGCCTGGGAGAGGTGGGAACAGAATCTCCTGGGAAGAAGAAAGAATGGCAAAGCAGAAGTCGTAGGAGCAAGCACACCCAGAGGAGCCAGTCAGTTGTGAGGCAAACGTGTTCCACCACAATGCACAGGGGCCACGCTGCTCAGCCAGGGCCGGCGCCTCCTGCTCCGAAAAGGACGCCTTCAAGGTCGATTGCAAATGGGAAAGCACCCAGCCTTGCAGGCCTTCTCCGCATCACTGCCTGTCCTCCGCTCTGGCTGAGGCGGCCTCGGAGCCCTGTGGAGGCCCCTCCACGGTGGGTTCTGCCTGTGCAGGGAGCACACGGATCTCAGAGCATTGTCCTAAGAACCACTGTTTGCTTGAAAAGAAAACAGGACAGCATTTATTTGAAGCCCAGAGGCGGAAGTTACGATTCCCAGCATGCAATGGTCTGACAGCTCTGCTGCTCATTTTTAAATTTTATCTGGGCCAAAAGCATAGGTCCTGTGAACTGAGAGCATTTCATGATTAGACCGCTGGAGCGGCGTGGGCAGGGCAGAGAACCCAGGCTTAGCCAGGCGTCACATCTCTGAAGGCTACAGTGGGCAGCAGCTGTGGTCCAGCTCATCCCCTCCCATGGCAGACCTCCTGCCAGGAGCGGGGAGGCTCTGTTCCCTTCTCCCGGTGGCTTTCCGGTGGCGTCCGGCCAGTTTAAAGGACAGGTGAGGTGTAATCTCTGGCTCTGTTGCCACTTCAGTTTACGTTAGTAAGATGCCTGGTAGTGAACTTGGTGCCTCCTTCCTCCTTGGTCCGCTCCATGGGAACCTAAGCAGCACAGAGGCAGGCTGGCCGTGCTGAGCACAGGTCCTGTATCCCGTGTCTTGTCTGCTGGTTGGACAGACGAGGGTCTGCGAGGCGCCCCGCCCGGTCTTAGTGCTGCCCCAGCCTGGCTGGGTGTCTGCCTCCCTCCCAGAGGCCTCCCTGGGTGCATCCGTGCCCCGGAGCTTCCCAGGTCGTCCCCTCCCAGGCATGACCCGCATTGTCGGAGGCACCGTCCTGACAGATGGAACATAACAGGAGACCCATGTGGGGGGTCAGAATAGTGAGTGGCAATTAGTGAAGTGGTTCTGCAGGGCGAGGCCTGTCCCAGCTTCTTCATCGGCCCCTTGACCTGGTCACGAGCTGATGAATCTGAATGTTAGTAGGTGAGCTATAAATGTGTGACTATTGATTTTTTTAAAGTCAGGACAGTGTGTGAGGGGCACAGCTGCCCTTCGACACAACGCTGCTGTTCTTTCCCGAGTTTGAGAGCTGGCCTAGGTATGGATTGAAGAGGGAGTTTGTTTGTTTGTTTGTTTGTTTGTTTCAGTTCGCTCTAGACACAGCTGTCTGCTTAAACCAGGCGCCTTTAACGATGTGGAGAGAACAGAGCCCTTACGTAATTCTTTAGTTATATGTGTGTGAGGCTTCTTTGTGGTATTGGGCTTATGAAATAAATGTTCTAGAAGATATCCTCCAGGATTGGAAAGCTATCCCTGGGTAGTTCTTTCTTTGAGTTTTCTTTCTCTGTTACTCACTTTGGAGCCGCTGGAAGTTTTCTGTAGAAACCTTGCAACAGATAACTACCTCCTCTGGTAGACTGCGATGAAGCGATTTTTCAGAAGCAGTTGTAAATAATGACAAAGTAAAAGACTTCACCTTTTAAATCAATATCCGCTCTTACCCCAGAGGCCAGGATTGCTACAGCACATTGGGCTGGTCAGATGTTTGTTAAACAACAAAGACAAAAAAAGTGCGCCATCGACGGCAAAATCTGCCAGATTGTCCCAAAAAGGATCTTGTAAGCAAGCAGTTACAGTCCAGTCGTCCTTGTTGGAGTTTGTAAAGAAAAGGAACAGAGCACTTAACACCGAAGCTGACTCAGTTCGGCACGTTACGGCTTGGGAGAAATGGCATCAGGTTGGGAGAAGAGAGGATAGTGTTTCGGGGAACATGGTACGGCTGACCACGGTCTGGGGGCCCTGACCAGGAGCAGGTGTCTTTTCCCCTTTAGCTCTCAGTGCACATGGAGTCTTTGACCACATCTTGGGGTCCCCCTGCTTCCCTCACTGCACCCTGTTCCGTGACATGGATATCCACACTTGCTGGTTACTGAGTTTTTCTTAAACTTTCTACTGAACTGTAAGCCCCAAGAGAGCCTCTCTGTTTATCCTCAGTGCCCAGTACTTCATTTTTCTAGAGGACTTTTCCTGGATTGCCAGGGTTTCTGGAGCAGCAGGTACCAGAGTCTGACACGTGGTGGTTGGGACAGCAGAGGCCGTGATGAAGCACACGTGAGAGCCAGCCTCTGGCCGCCATGGCAAAGCCTAGAGCGTGGGACCCTGGCGGTATGGAGGGATGTGGTGAGGCATGGATCCCTTCTGAGCTTGTCAGCGGAGGTACCCGTGCTCACATCTCTGGCAACAGTAAAGCCTTTTCCCAGCAGAGGCCCTGTGTCCCCTGTTACACAGTGGAAAAAGCAGTGCTATCTCCTGGTTGCAGGCTTACTAGGTGTGCTGGTTAATGATTTTATAATCAAAGGAAACACGATAATTTCAAGAGAAACACCAAAAGTGCTTTATTCAAAGTAATGTCCATTGCTAGCTACACATTCCCCCATCTTTCAGGTAATTGGTGGATACCGACCCAATAGAACTTTTCTTGTTTTGAGACAAACCATTCAGAGACCAAATTTCCCACTTCTTTGTACTTTTTGAAGTGCTGCTCAGAAAGGGCGTGTGCCATCCATCAGAACAAGTGGTGATCTGAAGGAGCAAGGTCTGGTGAATACGGCGGGTGGGTTAATACTTCCCAGGCAAGATCTTTTAACGTGTCTTTAACTGATTTTGAAGTGTGTGATGGTGCATCATCATGAAGCAAAATTACTTTGCCGTGTCTTCTGGAACATTCTGGTTGTTTCATGATCACAGCGTGGTTCAAATTGATTATTTGTTGTCAGCAGCAATTAGTACCAACAGTTTTACTTGGTTTTAGAAACTCATAATACACCACACCTTCCTGATCCCACCAAACGTAGAACATTGTCTTCTTTCCGAAGCGATTTGGCCTTGCAGTCCATGTTGATGGTTGACCTGGATCAACCCGTGATTTTGTGCATTTGGGATTCTCAAAATAAATCCATTTTTATCGCCAGTCACAATTTGATGCAAAAAAGACCTTCTTTCGTTGAAGCCACCTTTCACTGATGACATTTCAGTTTTCATTTGTCTTTCGTTCAGTTGATGGGGCGCCCATTTACCTTCCTTTAAAATCTTTCCCATTGCTTGTAAACGATCGGAAATTGTTTGCTGAACAATGTTTAATCTTTATGCAAGTTGTTTTTGAGTTTGGCATGCATCTTCATCCAATAATGCTTGTAATTGTTGATCTTCAAACTTTTTTGGTTGACCTGGACGTTTTTTTGTCTTTCACATAGAAATTATCACTTTCAAAGCATTTAAACCAGCGTTCACAAATATCTTAAGATGGAGTTGTTCACCATAAGCTTCTCGAAGTATACAATAACTTTCAGCAGCACTTTTCTTCAAAATAAAGTAATGAATTGCAACTTCCCACAAATGCTTTTTTTTTTTTTTTGGCACGAAATTTTATATCTTTAAGCGTAAAAATATGTTGACACCTTCAGCAAATTTGACATACAAGTTTTGAAGCTTGCTATCAATACAACAAAATAGCATACATATCAAACCACATATTTATCAACACATGTGTAATGCCGTCTTTTGGAAAAAATCTTCACTGTTAACTGGTACACCTGGTACTGATCAGAACGCAGTGGCAAGTGCACTGTTGACGGAAGGAGGGCAAACCTGGTGTATTTCAAGGGAGAGCCAACATGGGCTTCCGAGGTCTGCCTTTAATGGCACTAACATCCTTAAATAAAATTGTGTCTCTAAGGAAGGAGACGAGCAGCATTTCCCTGAGAGGACGCACAGGGAGGTGTGTCGTCGCCTCCGCCTCGCCTTCACTCCATGCCCGCGCCCTTGCAGAGTGTCCTGTGAGGGCGGTGCGGGAGAGGTGTCAGGGGACCCTGTCTTGGCAGCCCTGCCGCTCAGGTTGTCACTGGGGACAGCCGGCACAGACAGCTGACAGGCAGGTGAGGGCGGAGGCCCTGGCTGAGCAAGGTCAGGGTGAGTCCTGGAGAAAGAGCCAGGGCCTCTGATGCCTCCTTTGTTGTCTTAACCCCAGGCCTGGGATTTATTAACCTGGCTCTGTGACAGCAAATAGAGTGGCTTTTCATTTCCTTTAGTTAAAAAAATAGTGTTACAATTGTAGCCCTTTGAGAATAAGAATGAGTAAGGTGAGAGAAACGATGGGAAGTGCTAGGATCTCAGTAAAATGTTGGAAATCTTTCCTTGTCAGCTGACGGCTCTCCTATCTTTTCTCGGGAGAGTGAGCAGGTGAGCCACACTGGACCATCACAGACGCCCCAGACAAAACACTTGCTGGAAATACCGTCTGTCCGGCTGCCTTCCCGCTCCTGGCCCCCCGGCAGGCTTCTCTTACCAGCAGTGAGCTCACTTTAAAGCAAAGTTAAATCTAATTTAAGGACGCAAATTGAAAAAGCAGGTTTGTTTACTGCAGTGTTAGACTTATTAACTCACAAAAGCCATGAGCCTGTCTTTCTGTTTACACTTACAAAATGGATCTCTAAATGAGGGTTAATGGGCTTCCCAGATCATGTTCCCCAGGCAGATTTTTTTCTCTTCAACAGTAAATTCTGAAATCAAAAGGACTAAAAAGAAAGGGGAGTGCTTCCTGTCATAAATGGGATGGGTGGCATTCTTCAAAGTGTTTCACAGTTTCCAACTGTGCGTTATAATTTCAGAGTAGCTGGACAGCATTCTGAGATTTTTAAAGTAGTACATTCGCTGAGAAACGTTTATCAAGTGCACTGGCGACAGTCTACAGGCCCCGAGGCCCGCTCTCACCAGGCTCGACTTGTAGTGTAAACACAGGAGCCGGGAACAAGCGTCCCGTCCGAGAGCACTGTGAGCGGAGGGACTGCCAGGCGCACTCTGCGGCAGTCACAGTGCCGGCCCAGGCTCCTCCGACACCCGTGGGTGTGCTGGATGGATGAGGCGGGGCCGCACAGCGCCATCTGACGTAGCCTTGGGCCTCCTGTCCCTTTTGTCTGCTGGCCCCTCACAGCCTTCTTCGGAAGGCGTTAACCCACTTGGGAGCGTTCTGTGACCACGGAGATCTACCGTCTGGCGTCGGGAGACTGAAGGCCTGACGGGGCTGGAGTGCATTAGCAGGAGGGAGTGCCCTGCAGCGCCGTGAGTGAGGTCTGTGGCTAATGAGAGGTCGCTCTTGCCGAGGCCAGTGGAGAGAAGGGAGAACGCAAGCAAAGTATTAGCTGCTGCTGCTGCTGCTGCTGCTGCGAAGTCAGATGAATTCGGTTGAGTGGCTGGTTCATTGGGTTCTCTGGGGGTAAAGTCACTTGTTTATAATTTCTAAACATTTAAAACAAAAGGGAAGCAGCTGCCTACAGGAGACATACGAGGTAGGTGCTTTTTTAAGTAGGGCAGTGGGCGTGCAGCGAACCAAACCCTGGCTCCAGGGTTCCAGTGGCCGGAGCAGAGCAGCTCGCTCACTCTGTGACCTTGACCGCCGCCTGCACTTTGTGGGTGGCACCCTGGCTGCAGAGCCCAGGCGGGGGTTGGTTTGAGAAGTTATTGGAACTACTGTCATCTTCTGCCTATAGCACTGTCTCCTCAGCCTCTGACTCCATGTATTCCTCAGGCACAGTAACTTCCGGAAGACACTGGTCTTCACACTCCATCTGCGAGGAACCCATGGCCCACAGGGGAGCTCCCTATTTCCCGGTTTTCCTGCCTGACCCGGAGCATGAAGCTGCTTGAAGAACCCACTTGCAGTCTTCTCTCTACTGTCTGCTGCACTGGGGTTTCAGATTGCATTTTTATTAAGTTAGAATTACGTTTGAAGTGTTTGAAAACCACTTCAGAAAATTAGTTTATTAGATGATGATTTTTTTAAGTAGCTTCATGCAGTGATCTAAAATGGAAGTTAGAAACACACCTTTGGGGTTAAAAGCTGTAAAAGAGCAGTGGGAGTTGTCATGTGTTAATAACGTGGGGTCTGCGGGGGGGATTCCCAGAGGGCACCTCTCTGGCATGGACAGACTTGGGCGTGAGCTGGGGTGAGGCTCCTCTTCCTAAAGGCTGCGTTTCCTCAAAGTCAGGGTGACACCAGGCCTGTACCTGCGTGTGTCCGGCCGTGCCGGCGGGAGACGGTGGTAGGAGTGCCGGAGCGTGTGCTGTGCAGGTGAACTTACCCACCGGGCAGGGGCTCCGGCCGCATTCGGGAGCAGCTTGGGGAGCCAGCTCACAGCTCCTGTGCCTGCACGCTGGTAGCTTGGGGGTTAGACGTCTGCTGGCATCCCGCTGCCTGCACGCACACTCTGAGCCGGGCGTGGGTCTCAGATAGAGCGGGGTCCCGCCCACGACCTGCCTGGCCTAGCCATGCCCAGCCCATCGCTCACCCGTCGTCCGGGGCTGCTTTGTGATACAAAGGCAAATGAGCAGAACAGGCAGAAATGCTCACTGGCTGGCCATTGACAGAAAATACTTGCTGACTGTCACCTTCCTGGAGTCTAGCAGACCACAGGCTGGATCTGCATCCGTTAAAATGTCTCGGGATGAAAGAGATTGAGGTGAGGCATGGGGTTGTCCTTTGGCAATTTTCTTCCGTTTCCAGGAGAGAACACTTCATGTGGGCGAGCCGTGGTTACACCACCTCAGAATCTGAGGAGTGGTTTGGGAACACGTTCTCCCCCCCCCCCCCAGGTGCCATTTTTAAGGCACCCTTGGACATCCAGGACTCCCTTCCTCCTGGACTGCCTTTCTGAGCTCATGGTTCGGCTCAGCCCAGCCTTTGGGCAGTGAGCTGTCTTCAAATGGCACATATGCCATGTGACCGAGGCTGATGCTGGCACGAGGCAGAGACATCTGCCTTTACAAATAGTTTGAAAAATTTCCAGGCCCCAGGCCCCTGGTGTACTTCCCAGGGGTGGCTGAGAAGTCCCAGCTCCCTCAGGCCTCTCGGCCCCTCCCTGGCGGTGCCCCACTTCCTCACTCTGTCCCTGCGGAGTCTGCTCCGAGTCCTCCCCACCCTTCCCTCCGCACGCAGCAGCCCCCTGACAGCACTGGCTTCTTCATTTCACCAGGGAACAAACGGCTCTTAGAAGTAATAGTCCCCAGATTTATAAGCTCAGTAAATAATGAACTTTGAATTAGGATATAAAGCCGAAGCATGTGGCTCCTGCTAAGATGAAAAGCACTTCCTGTGTGGGAGTTTCTAGTCTAGCACTTGGTCGGCAAACAGTCAGTTCTCACAGCAGCCCCGCCACAGGGCCAGGCCGGGCGGGCCTGGAGAGCAACCAGCCAGCGGCCAGGGCTGCTGCATTGGACCCGGACACCGCTCCCTGGACACAGTGGGTCCGGAGGTCAGTTTAGTAGGTCACCAGCCAGCATAAGGAACAGAGAATGGAGAGTGTGTGCATGTGTACCTGCTACATGCATGTGTATATACATAAGTGCTGGCTGCTGTGAATGCATTTGGAGCGAATGAGCCACCAGCCTTGTAGTTAGAGGCTTACGTGTATGTTTCCTGCAGAATTCCTCTTGGATACCCAGGCCTCCCAGATGACTGAGGCCTGTTACCGCAGACAGTCTGCCCTGGCGGGGTCCCTACTATGGAGCAGGGGAACACGGTCCAGCTGCAGTTCAGGGATCACTGAAGGTTCTCACTCTGCTATCAAACGTGGGGCTGGCATGAATCGGCTTCTGCAAACATTCTTCATCCTCCCACCCAACTCTGAGACTCTCCCTCCTGCACTACTTGCTTTGCTGGGTGCTCGTCCCCTTTTGCTCGGAGGCTTCAGAACCCTGGAGACTCGTGGAGGCCATTTGCAGGGGGTGCGAGTGCCGCTGGGTCACAGCTTTGCTGTGCACGGCGGGCAGCGCCTGGTCTTCAGTGTCCCTCAGCAGAACACGCTGAAAAGCAGATTTGCAAGCTGATTTTTATTAGTATTTACGTGTGTACTCCTGTGTACGCACATCTGTATATCACGACTTCATTGGGACTTCATGGGAAGAAAAGGGGCCTACACCCCCATCCCCTTTAAATCTCTATTTTTGATTACATATGTCCCTCTTTTTCTTCCATTGACCTCTTCTAGCCTGCCCCCAGTTCCACCCCAGGTACACCCCCTTCGTTAATCATCCCTCACTCGTGTGCCAGGCACTATGCTAATAGTTCTCAGAGGTTCCAGAACCTTCAGCATGGCTGTGTGTGCCGGGGGCACTCTGGTCCAGGCACTGGATGGCGGGAAATGGGCCAGGGCCAGCTGCTGTCTGCCCTGAAGGCTCAGTGAGGGACGGATGGGCACACCCTTGGGAAGCCAGGCTCCGAGTGCCCGGGGAGGCAGCGCCACCCCGGCCTCTCCCTTCTGCACCGTCCCCTCTGCTCCTCTGCCCCTTGTGCCCCACGCCGGCATCCCTGCCTGCCTCTTGGCCCTCCTCATCCTTGCCCTACTTCTGTCCAGCCTGCCTGTGTGGATGGTGTCAGCTCAGACCTTGGCCACTGCAGGCTTCTGGAGATCTCGAGCATGAGAGAGAGTGACCTGCTGGGTTTGAGTTGTGGCTGAGAAAGTCCTGAGGGCCCAGACCGCGGCGGAGCGGCATCCTGGCCTCGGCCCTGCCCCCTGGTGGCCCGTTGGGACAGAAGCGGAACAAATCGGGAATGTGTCCAGTGGGATTCGGTCCGTTTGGACGGAGTATGTGTGCACAGGGCGTTCTTGGGACTGACTGGAGGGACTGGAGCTTGGGAGCCGCCGCGCCTCCTGCTCCAGGGCTGGTGGAGCTGTGCGCGGTGGCCGTCTTTAATCGCCCCGGGGAAGTGAGAAACGGAGCCACCTCACCCATTAACTTACTGGAAAACAGGAGCAGATGTGCGGAGCGGACAGCCGTCCTCCGAGGCTGCTGCTCAGTTCTGTTTGAGCTCCCCTCACTGGCCTTCACCTTCCGCTGGCCAACGGGGCGAGGACCTTGACAGTGTGTGACGGCCTCTCAGATTTTTAGTTTCCCAGCGACCTAGGAAGGCTGACCTCAGTGCCCACTGTCACATATTCTGGGAGAAATGGAGACAGAAGTCACTCTGCTGCCAGATTCCCGGGAAACCCCGATTCCATGTGGCAACAAGTAGCTAAGGAGATTTTAAAGGCGGTAAGAACAGGTTAAGTGGTAAAAATGAGGACTTTCTTTGTTTCTCAGGGAAATGGGGAGAGAAGTCAGCTCCTGCCGGAGCAGCAGGGTCTGCTGGGCCCTGGGATGACTGAGCGCCCCGCCGTGGAGACACGAAGGGCCTGCTGTTGGCCTCTCTCCGGGAGAGGGAGGCTGGGCGCGCGCAGCCCTCGGCCAGAAGGCCAGTCTCCTGGTCACCGTGACAGTGCGCCATTTCTAATGCTGACTCCACACGGATGTAAAGGCGCTCCTGTGTGTGCACCCTGGAGCTTCTTTCACCTGGGGGGGCGGGGGGGGGGGCGGGGACAGGGCCATCCCGCCCCTGCCTGCTCGTCGGGGTCTGATTAATGCTGAGTTATTTCTCTATGTGCATACAGGACGGAGGGTGAGCACAGGAAGGAACGACGAGAGGCTAAAACCTCCATTCTTGCCGAAACCAGTTTGGCTCAGTGGATAGAGTGTCGATGTTTCTAACTCTCTATCCCTCTCTCTTCCTCTCTGTAAAAAATCAATAAAATATATTTAAAAAAAGAAACAAAGAAAAAGAAACGTCGATGAGAGAGAAACATTGACCAGCTGCCTCTTGCACACCCCCCACTGGGGATGTGCCCACAACCAAGGTACATGCCCTTAACCGGAATCGAACCTGGGACCTTTCAGTCCGCAGGCCGACGCTCTATCCACTGAGTCAAACGTGTTTTGGCTCTCATCGACATTTCTAACTCTCCCTCTCAATTCCTCTCTGTGTAAAATCAATAAAATATATGTATTTTTAAAACCTCCATTTTCAAAATCTGGGCTAAAAAGTGAATTTACCCCCAAGTTTTAGAATGAGAAAAGGCAGTTGTCAAGGGTACGGTGTGAGCGGGGCACGCGAATCTGAGTTGGCACATTGTGAAGCTGCAGAGCCTCTGGAACTGAGCACAGCCCGCTCACCGTGCGTGAGGGAGGCTTTCCTGAGGCCAGAGCCGCGGCAGCAGCTCCCCGGTCTCTGTCCCTCCCCCGCGGTGGCCCGGGAGCAGCCCGTTTCCAGACGGACCGCTGGTGCTTGGCAGGATGGCCCTGAGTTGGGATAAGACGAGGGGCAGAGGCGCCTTTTGCGGCCTCTGGTGCGTGGCCGGGTGTGGAGTGCGGGGGAGGGGTCTGGCTTCCTCCGATGGATGTGGTCTGAGGAGCCGACCTCCGCTCACGTGTTCGTTCCGCTCAGAGCAGTTCTGGGCTGCCTTCCCCTTTTATGGTCTGTTGATTTCTGTCGCTTGCACAGAAAAGAACCTTCTATCGAAGATGGAGAGATTGCTGAGGCTGTCTCTGAGCAGCTTCTCCTTCCTTGTGATGTCCGAGGCTGTTAACTCCTTCCCGTGCACCTCTGGGATTCCCTCCTGGATGTAAACGCTCACGGGTATCCCGTCCTTACAAGTTCAAAGGACCTGGCTGCCCACAGGCAAAGGGCAACGCCACCAGAGTCCCCGAATTAACACTGTCGGGGAGCGCAGTTAGCCCTGGGGAAGGATTCTTTCCAGAAGATGTTTCTTTCCTTCATTCCTAACTGTTGGCGTGTAAATCTACTTACAGGAGATGGAGAGAGCTGGCCAGGTGGTGGGTAATGATAAAATGTCTTATATTTTACCTTTGCCACACAAGGGCTCCTTTAAAAGCCAGTGAAACAGGATGGAAGGAGGCTTTCTGCATGCACACAGCCCCTTCCAGGTGTGGCCAGTGTGGATCACGCTGTGGACCAACATGGCCGGTGCTGACTGAGCATAACCTGGGATGCATAGGATTGGCCTGAAACTGGACTCTGAAAACCTGGTGCAGTGGGATCTGCTAGTGAAGGACGTGCCTCAGGGCTGGGAAATGCCAGGGCCCTGCTGCTGTCCTGTCCGCAGAGGCTGCAGGCTGGGGTCCCTCTTCCACGTCTCCCCTCACAAATCCCAAACCAAACTCCCAAGAGGCCACTCTGCCTCTTCTCAGATATGTGGAGAGTGACTCTTCCCTTCATTGTAACCATCAGCAGCTTTGAAACGTATTGGTTATTACAGGAAGTTAAGAAGTGGTTTCAAAGAAAACCTTCGTGGCCAGCCTGCCGCCTGGCCGGGGATGTGTCTTTTGTTTTTTAGCTACATTTTTCGTTTATCTGTTTCCTAGCAAAATGGTTAAAAACATCACAACATCACTGGGACATGCACTTTCCTCCCCTGGAGCGGACTCAGTGCTGCTCTGAGGACCAGGTGAAATGAAACGGAAGTGGAAGTTAAGCTGAAGGTGCCAACATTCACACACTCCGAGAGTACAGCGCCCCCGTTACCTGGTTTCACAGTCGACTGCAGTCTGAAAATATTAAAAGGAAAATTACAGAAATAAATAGTTCATGAGATTGAGGTTGCATGCCATTCTTAGTGTGATGAAATCTTGAGCCCTCGCTCTTTTCCTCCCTCCCCCGCAGAACGTGACTCATTCCTTTGTCCAGTCTCTGCAGGCTGGACAGGAGCGTTCCCCGCACACGGGTCAGTGGCGGCCTCTGCAGTCAGGCCGCTGTCACCGCACCTCCCAGCGCCGTGTCCCCGCCAGAGCTGAGAGCCGTGCGGCAGTGCGCGTCTGCCAGGGAGGGCCGTGTGGAGCGTCCTCAGTGTAAAACAGTGGACGCCCTCAGTAAGGAAAGGAAGAAATCATACCTGAGGATGCTGAGATCTGTGGTCGGAACCAGTCCTCTATTTTTGAAATTGCGAAGAAGGAAAAAGAAATTGGGGCTATTTTTGCTTCTGTACTTCATTCTGCAGAAGTTACAGCCACAGTGTGCCGAGCGATTAGCTGAGGTGGAAAGGCGTTGACTTGGGCACAGGTGTGTGTGTAGGACACCGGGTCCTGGCACATCCCCCCAAGGATGAGCGGGGACTCGGACACAGGAGCTCCGAGTCTTAAACGCCCGCGGCAAGAAGAACCTGCCAGTGTGGCTTACTGGGCTTTCTCTCGTTTAAGGTCCGCCATCGGTGGTGTGAGCTCATTGTGAAGCACAAGTACACGAGAGCGTACAAAACCGTGGAGGAGTTCCTGCAGGAGGACCAGGTAGGTCGTTCCTTGCAGTTCGTGCTCTGCCGTGCTGCTGCCTGGCTGTCCGGGACCCAAGGATAACAAATACTTAAACATTTTCCAAAAGTCTGAGGGTTGGAGGAGCTCAGTGTCCCTTAAACGCACCGAGCCTTGGTGCTCGGAGGCACCGTTGGTTTCACCTGGGGTGGCCGTGGCCACTACCAAGTGAGGCCTGTGCTGACTTCGTGGCATCGCAGACCTAGGGTCCAGGTGGCTCGGTAATGCTGGTCCTGACAGCCCGGCCGCGGGAGCAGTCTGTCTGTCTGTCTGTCTGCACCTGTGACGCCAGACCGGCCTGTGCTGAGTGTCTTTCCTGCTACCAGAGGAGAGTGGTCATCCTCCCGGGAGCCCGCAGGAAGCGTGCGCGGTGACCGTGTTGGGGGATGTCCTCCGTGCCACCTCTGTGCCCATCCACACTTGTCCTGGCCTGGCTGTCCGTGCGGGACATGTGCCAAGGAGTCTGTGCGGCTGGAAGTCAGCCCGCAGCTCCTGTGGGCTTGACCAGTGTGTGCCCGTGAACGAGCTTTCTGCCCAGCTGGGGGCTGATGGCATGGAGCGTGTTCCAGTCGGGCGGAGAGCGGGGGCAGGGCAGACAAAGGGGCTTTTGAGAGGGCCGGAGTAGGGGGGCTGCCGGCACGGAAGGGCTTGTTATTCCCACAAAGAAAAATGCACGACTTTGTACCAGAAGAAATGTCACATTTGCACAGTGGAGCAGGAGGTGTTTGGAAACAGAGTGGAGTATAAGGAGGACAAAATGCAAGAGAAAATTAGGTCCGTTTGAAAACCAGAGTTAACTACAGAGTACTAGAATCATGAACTTTTCTAAATACAGATTATCGTAGCTCAGCCTTCACGGGAAGAATTTGTGAGCCTTTGGCGCTGTCGCTGAGGTCCCCTGTTCATTTGCCCAGCAGAGACCACGGCACAGCTAAGCGTGCAGAGGAGGCACGCCGAGGGCTCTCGGGTCTTCAGAGCACAATTGGCTTTTTTAAAACGAGGGAAAATGCAGACGGGGGTCCTCGCAGCACTGCGTCTGGAGCAGCAGAGCCAGCGTTGGCCTCAGGGAGGGACGCGGTCGGGGCTGGAGCAGCAGGCATTGCCCAGGCGCCTGGTGGTGGTGCTGCGGTGGCTGCGTGTGGCGCGGCGGTCTGCGGCCCGCAGTGCCGAGGGCACCTGTCCTGGGAAGGAGCCGATGTCTCAGGACACGCACACAGCACCTCCGTGCTGCCGTGAGCTGCGCCGAGACCCCTCTCCTCCAGAGCGTTCCTGCACGGCCATCGCTAGAGAAGCGCTCACGGTCACCACTTTGTCATCAGTTAAGTCCCCACGGTTCTGTTGGTGGAACTGAGAGCTGAGAATTCCGTAGAGTTTCAGTGGAAGCCAGAAAGAAGGGGTTGAAGACTACGGTTCCTCAAGTACAACTATTCAACTGTCTGAGCTTTTCTGGGGTCTTTTGTAATTTCTGGACCAGCAAGTTTGTGTGAAACAAACTCAGACTGGACACAGATTTCTTTGTCTCCTCCTCTCCGGCTCTGCCCCTGCAGGCGATGGGCATCTACCTCTACGGGGAGCTGATGGTGAGCGAGGACGCCAGGCAGCAGCAGCTCGCCCGCCGCTGCTTCCAGCTGACCAAGGAGCAGATGGACAGGTGCTCAGCCCAGGTGGTGGCCGAGATGTTGTTTTAAAGAGGTAACTCTCCCCTTCCTCTCCCCGTTGTTCGTTTCTAACCAGATTTCTCCTGGGAGCCCGATGGACCAAACAGTGAGCCTCGAGCGCCCCCAGCATCAGTCCTCCGCCCCGCACGGCGCCTGCAGCTCCGCGCTGGGAGGGGTCGCCGGGAGCAGAGCTGTGCGCCCAGTAGGACAGCTCTCCTTGGCTTTATCCCTGTAGTGACAGAAGTTGGGGGAGCACATTTTGGAGATGGTTAGGGGTGGCCTGGGAAGCCCAGCACGAGAGAAGGGTGGGCAGGAGTGCGTGGCCAGCGGCCCGCTCCTGGCTGTGTGAGAGCTTGGTGCTGCTCGGGTTGGCCCTGCTGACCCGGGAGCCGGGAGGAGCCCTCCCGCCAGAGCCTGCCTCTGGCCCCCGAGCTGCGCTGCGGCTGCAGGCGGCTCGCCGAGCTGGGCAGACTCGCAGGGAGTGCTGAACTCTGAATTGCTTTTCCTATTAAGATTTACTTCCTAGCATTAGGCTTCCCGTGGAGGGTCATGCATCTGAACAGTAATTGAGCAACGGCCGGTAACGTCTTCAAATAGAACTGTGGGTTATAAGTGTGCTATCTCTCCAGCAACCATCATCCCCAGGTCTCAGTTTTTCTCCCAGGTGTTGCATGCTGTACATAGGGCATCTCTAATTTGGTATCCTTTTAAAAACATGACAGTAGATGTCAATCATTTTTCATGTTCTATAGCTTCTCTCTATATAATTTTAGTGGGTATTTAATATTTTATGTTGGTCTTCCTAACCCATTGTTGTACGTTTAGTTTGCTGTGTCTTGGAAAACCACTTTTGCCCAGTATGTTTACGAGCCTGCCTCACTGGAAAGCAGTGGAATGTGAGGAGGAACGGCTTTCTGAACCGCGGCTGCAGGGCTGCAGGGGAGGCGCTGTGTGTGCCGCTGTGTGTGCGGGGGAAGGGGGTGGAGGGGATGGAGGGGTGTGGGGAGTGAGGGGGTGTGTGTGCCGGGGAAGGGGATGGAGGGGGTGGAGGGGTGTGGGGAGTGAGGGGGTGTGTGTGCGGGGGAGGGGGATGGAGGGGATGGAGGGGTGTGGGGAGTGAGCGCTGTGTGTGCGGGGGAAGGGGATGGAGGGTGTGGGGAGTGAGGGGGTGTGTGTGCGGGGGAAGGGGATGGAGGGGATGGAGGGTGTGGGGAGTGAGGCGCTATGCGCAGACATCCCAACAGCGTTCCCAGGCGGCTTCCGGCCCTGGTCACGGACGGGCCAGTTAACAAAACAGAGCAGTTGCAGTTACCTTATTGCCAGCCTCCGACAGCGACCAGTGTAAATCATTTCTCTTCCATGTTCAGTTGCATGGGGAGTTTGTGTGTCTTGAAGTGTGTGAAACTGCCCTGGGCAGACTCCCGTGCTCGCCCGTCTCAGCGTGGGAACCACAGTGGGCACGCAGCTCTCACGGCTCTTGGTGCCGTTTTTGCCCCAAGCAGACAAAGGAGTGGGCCTGGCGAGGAGTCTGTTTTCTCCCTCCCCTCTGCACTGGCCCTTCCTGTCCCTCCCCTTCCAGATGAACGGGGTCACATGCGTCCCCTCTGCCCGCCCGTTAGGACCAGGGACTTGCTCCTGCCAGCAGCTGGGGGCCTGGCAGACCTCCCTGAGCCCAGAGTCACAGGAGGGACGGCCGTCTCCACCAAACCTGCCTCAGTTACGTTCAAAACTGCACTGGCGTTTGTACGGGCATCTCCGAGTCCTTTGGTTTAAAAAAACTGCTCTAGGACAGCACGGAAGTGAAAGACAAACATAAAACCGTGCGGCAGTGCGGCCGGCCTGGAGGTGCTGGCGCTCGTGGCCGAGGACCTGGCTGTGCGGTGTGGGCCCGGCGCGCAGGACGCGGCTCCGGAGTGCTCTGGCTGCTTGGGTCCCTGGCATGCTGATTTGTGACTTAAGAGTAAAATCACATTGCCAGGGATTACCACGCAACCACGACCTTGGCTGCTCTCCAGAGCCAGAGGCGCTCGCTCTCCGCAGGGGAACGATGCACTCGGTAGCTCTTCCCGGAAACAGAAGAAGCCAGCGGCCACGAAGACGCTCCCGCCTTTCCAGCGTGCCCAGCTGGAGACCTCTCTGCCGAGGTGCAGAGCTTAGCTGATTGGTGAACAGTGACTGGTTTCCGCTTTGTTCACAGTGGCTAAGTTCTGCACCTGAAGAGAAGGTGAGATGGGACAGTAAGTTGGAGCCGCTGGGGCAGAGGCTGCTGCTGAGCGGGCAGCTCGGGTGCGAGCCCGATTCTGGAGGAGAGACCTGCTCAGCCCAACGATGCACTTCCTCTTGTCGCCAAAGCGAGGAATGAACCAGCAGGCTACAGAACGAGGACTCTGACTCGATAGCTCTCTGAAAGGTCACATGTATTTCTCTCTGTAGAAGTGGTTTATATAAAACACTGAAACCAAATGCATCACAGTAGCCGAGAAAAACTGTCGTGGTTTGTTGCATGTGCGTGGGGCTGGGTGCGCGGGGAGACCCTGTGCTGCTCGGGAGCACCGTGACTCTCTCTTGTGTTTGCAGCCCAGGCCTCTGTCTCCTGCAGCCCAGGACGTCGGCAGCTCGGCTGAGGCACTGCTGCTGCGGCTGTGGATTGGACCCGCCCTCCGGTGCCTACTGAGCTGATATCAGTTCTCATTTACACACTGGCTCAGTTCAGCAGGAACAGGAGTCGAGCCCTCGAGCAAAAAGCCTGCCTGCTCCTAAGTGCCCAGAGGCTGCGACTCCACTCGGCGAAGACCGGCCTCGGCGCTGGCCGCAGACCCGTGCCGCGGGCGCCATCTGTATGTGTCCCGTGGTGTGCACGTGGGCAGGGCCGTGCAGCTCCAAGGGCCAGTGCGGGGTGACGGGCTCGCCTCCGTCACGGCGTGGAGGCGGCTCTGACACGGGCTCTGGTGTCCGCATTGGCTCCCACAGCCGTGTGAGCTGCAGACCATTCTCGGGGCTGTGAGAGGGGGCAGGTCCCCGCCCGCCCTGCCCTCCGCCACCTCCAGAGCGGGAGGCACCCGAAGGCCCAGGAATTCGGGGTGAGCGGGCAGTGATTTTATTGCTGTTTCTTTGCAGGAAAGATCACAGTGAGATGCTTTCTCAGAAGCTCCTAGTAGCCCTGGTGGGACCAGGATGGCATTGACCCCGGACATGAGAGGAAGGTGACAGGGCTGCTGGGCCGTGAGCAACATGGGTCCACGTCTGGAGCTCCTTCCCGCGGCTGCTCGCAGCAGGGCACACGTGAAAGGCCCATCCTCCGGGTCACCTCGTCCCCATCCCGAATGTGCCGCCTCGACACACTGAACCCGCCAGGGTCAGAGCAGAAGGCAGTTCTCATGAGCCACCGAAGAACCTGCGGCCACGGAAGACCTGCAGACACTGCGGGTCCCCCATCCGCGGCTGGCGCTGCATGGGCTGCTCCGGCTCGTTTCAGAGAGACGCTGCAGAATTGTTTTGGCTGATAGTTCTGTTATTTACATACTTGCCAAGATTTTAGTGCCATTTGGTAAAAGTATGGGATAAGAATCTAAGATGTATTTAATAATAAAATGTAATAGATTAATGGTTTTGGATTCCTGTTTGTTCCTGAATTTAATTAATACTGTGTTTAAGAGGCAGCCTGACATCGGTAGTCCGACAGGCATGCGCAGAGGCCCTGCCTCGCAGAGCCTCTTTCCCACCCACGTAAAAAGGGCGAAACCAGCCTCCCGCACGGTGCACACGCAGCTTAGAGCTAGAGCAGCGCCAGCCTTGCTGTCACGTGATGGCGAGGGGCGGGGCGGGGCCAGCGTGAAAGCTCTGGCGCCGCCTTCACCTGACTGGCCAATGGGGTGGCGGCAGCCTCTGCAGTTCCAGAGCCTCAGGGCTGCCCAGCTGTGACTCCTGGAAGGGTCCGCTCTGCGCAGCTGCGTGTACTCTACGCATGCTTGTGCTGCTGTTACATTGGTAGAAGAATCCAGACGTGATTTTTAAATTTTTAAAAAAAGGTTTACTTTTTGTTTTGTTTTTAATTATTTTATTGATTTTTCAGAGAGGAAGAGAGAGGGATAGAGAGTTAGAAACATCGATGAGAATCATTGATCAGCCGCCTCTTGCACACTCCCTACTGGGGACGTGCCCACAACCAAGGTACATGCCCTTGACCGGAATCGAACCCAGGACCTTTCAGTCTGCAGGCTGATGCTCTATCCACTGAGCCAAACCAGTCCCGGCATGATTTTTAAATTTTAATAAAATACAAGAAGGCTGCTTTCTGTGAAGATGCCTTTTCCCTCCCTCTGGAAGGTGTGAAGTGAGGTGGAGCCGGATGGGGCGGGCACAGACACACCCACCCAGCGCCCACGGCAGACAACTGGCACCTCCGCGTGGGCTGTGGGCACCGGCTGGCCCGGTGGTTTGGTGCGGCCCCGTGTTGTAGAACGTTAAAGCCACACTCTCCCGCCTTTAGAAACCACAGGGCCGAGCCAAACTGCCACGTGGGATTTTGCACTACGATGGCTGGTCCCCTCCGTGGCCGCTGGCTCTGAGCCTCGGCCAGGCCAGCAGGCTGCAGTCGGTCCCGGAAGAGCCGTCAGAACCCAGGCGCTGACTGTGGTCGAACCCGAGTCTGCTGACAGGCACCGTGTGCCAGGTGTCCGCAGGGGCGGAGGAGTGGCCGGCAGCCTGGGGCCTGTCTGCGCGGCGGCCGCACGGTTACCGCCGCCCGGAGGCTGCGGAGGGACCGCTTTCCGAGCTGGCCCCGCTCCTGGGAGGCTGTGGCCGGGGCCCGCCGAGGCCCCGGGAGCCCACAGTCAGTAAGGAGACACAGAAGTAAGACTGGAACTCTCCGTTTTAAAGCTTTTCATCTTTTTTAAAGCTCCACCTTGGTAACTGGAGGGCCACTTGGGACTGATAGGATCTGAGTTGGAAACTGGCTGAGCCTGCCCCGTGCGTGCCCAGGTCGGGGAGTGCGGGCGAAGGGAAGTGCCTTCCCAGACAGATATTATTCTCAGGGTCACGTAGTGAGAGGCCCAGCCAGTGCCTCCGAGGGGCCTCCAGCCACTCAGCCGCCCAGACTGGGGTGGGCGGGCCAAGGACGCTGCTCCCCGGGCCCAAACGTGAACCTCCATCCTCACGCCGGTCCCCATGGGGAGGCCGCGGAGACCTGCCGAGCGGGAGTCTGGCTCGCTTCTTAGCACCATTCCCGGGGCTCCCACCCCCAAGACCACGTCTGCGGCCTCTGCCCCTGAGCGGCCCGCGGGCCGAGTGCAGGGAGCACCGCAGGGGGGACAGCGAGGCGGTGCTTCCACCGAGCGGAGGGTCCGCACCAGCCCACACGCCGGCCCCTCTCCAGCGAAAGCAAAGCCCCACACGCCGGCCCCTCTCCAGCGAAAGCAAAGCCCCACACGCCGGCCCCTCTCCAGCGAAAGCAAAGCCAGCCCGGCCTGTCGCTGCGGCCTCCTGTCTGTGAACTGGACCTGAAGGGGCTTCAGCAGCGGCCATGGCAGGGAGCGGCCTTGCAGGTCGCCGTGCCGGGCGGGCGGGCCGGATCGGGGTTAGGTGATGCTCCAGGTGACGCCCGGCCCACGGAGCCCCGGGCCCGGACACGCCCCGCAGACTGGGGTGGGGGGCGCAGGCTTGGTAACGGTAACGGGTGGGAGAGGAGGCCCTGCCCTGCGCGCAGTGAGTGGGCAATGGCCGAGCAGCTGCCCTGTGGGAAGAAGCTGCCTCTCAGAGCGCCCAGCGGGCTCCGCAAACCCGCAACCCGCGGTTTACAGCACTTTAATTGGAATTTCAAATCAGAACATTGAAATAACAGGCTCCGTCCCGAACGGGGTCAGAGATGGCGCACCAGCAGGCAGAACTCGGGGCCCACGTGCGGGAGCCAGAAGCGGGAGCTGCAGCCCTGCGGAAGCCGCCCCCGGGGCCCCGCCCAGCCGGCCGCAGACCTCGGCTGCCCCTGCAAGGGGGGCCCGCTCCCCCCAACGCTGCAGGCCTGGGCGGGGCGGGCGCCCAGGACGTTGCACGACCTCTCCCTGAGCTGAGCGCGCAGGTGGGTGGAGAGGCTGTGACCTGACCAGACCCCGTGTCTTCCCATCTCCCGGGCCAGCGCCTCCGCCGCGGGGAGGGGAACCTGAGGGCAGGTGCCCAGCACTGGGCGAGGCACATCCCCTCCTCCCCCAGGGAGCGACACTGGCCGACCAGCAGGGCTCCGGTGTCCCGGGCCCCTCTGGGGGGCAGGGCCTGCACACCAGTTCCTGAGAGGCCAGGGAAGGGCGCTGCCTCTGGGTGGGACAGTTGGAGCACCCCCTCCCGGGGCAACTTGAGCCGAATCACTAACAAGAGCAGAGGCGGCAGCCTCCGCAGGACCCAGCCGTCCGCACACCCGGCCGGTGGTGGCCGACCGAGCCCAGGGGCTCTGGGCAGGCGGCCCCGGAGGCCTGGTGGCGGGAAGGGCCCCTGCACGCGGGGCGGTGCCCAGGGGCCACGCTCAGGGAAGGGCTGAACTCTATCCTGATGACAGCGGCCTGGCCCCTCCCTGGCTGGCCCTGAGGGCTTACAGGTGGAGGCAGAGAGGCCTTAGGCTTAGGGGCTATCCAAGGCCGTTTTACAGACCTACCCCACCTGTGGATGCTGAATCCGACAACAATCTGCTAACTGACGGCTGTGAAAAAAGACTGAGGTCAGAACTGAGTCCAGGAGCCGAGGAAGCTGCCAGAATACAGACTCCCCAGGACTGGCGCTTGGCCTCTGAGGCCGCCTGCCTGGTGGGGGTGGAGGTGGCCATCACAGCAGAGGCAAGAGCCCACTCTTAGGGGCTGGGGCTGGGAAGTGAGAGAAAAACAACAGTGTGCATGTGTGTGTGTGTGTGTGTATGCGCATGCATGTGTGCAGCAAGGCCAATGTAGAAATGACCCCGTTTCCACCTTCTGCAGCAGCTCACATAGCCCAGATCTGGTCTTTGGAGATAAAGAGGTTCTCAGCCCCAAGAACTGGAGTGGGAGACGGGAAAACTCCGAAGGCCTGTCCCCAGTCCCTCACACCCCATCCCACCCGGGCTCCCCCAGCCTGTGCTGGCTGCTGGCACTTCACCAGCCACTGCAGCTGCGCTGAGGGCGGGGGCGGGCTCTGCCCACTGCCCCACCGGCTCCTCTGCCTGTTCCCTCAGCCCAGGACGTGCTTTTGCTGTGGGGCGGTCTGGGAGGTGCAGTCACCCAGGATCCATAGTCCCGGAAAGTTCTTTTCTGTGGAGATGTTTCCCCCTGTCTCAGGCAGGAGAGGAGCCTTGGCCGGATTTGAAAGGGGAGGGGGGATCGCCCTGGGTGAGCCCTCCGTGCTCCCCACCACCACCCCCACTCTCTACCCTCAGTCGGCGGGTTTCCACGTCCGGCTGCTCAGTCTAAGCCTCCAGGACTTTGAACGTGTGATGCTGCAGAGGGAGGCTCTGGGTGAGAGGCGTGTGCCTGAGGAGACGCAGGGGGTTCGGAGGAGCCCATGGTGGTCGGTGCTGGGATGGACACGTGTGCGCTTGTGGGGTTACAAAGGAAAGGAGGCACTTAATGGGGAGGAGCTGTAGCTTTAGGATCGTGTCAGCTTTAATAACCCCACGTGCGGGCCCGGGCGCGGGCGCGGCAGGCAGAGCCAGCCGGGGCCTCACTGCGGAGGCTGCCGGTCCGCTGGGGGCTCGGAGCCCAGGCGCGGGCCAGCCTCCCGCTGTGCTGGGGCTCATGGATCCAGCCACAGCGAGAGGCTGCTTTTCCCAGGAGAGCGTCCAGCGCCGGCACTGAGTCCGGAGGGCGCGCCTGCCGCCGCTCAGCTGGCGCTGGCCTCCTCCCCTGCTCGGCGCGACAGGCCAGGGCGAGCCTTCCTCACTCGACGCCGACCGGCGCCGCTTTGTTGGCGGATGTAAACGACCTGTGAGCCCAGGTGAGGGCCGCCCCTGTTCGCCTGTCCCCGCTCCAGCCCACCGCTGGTGGGGACGACAGGAGAGGCTCCGCAAACAGGCCGCGCCGGCCCCCCGCCGCCCCGCCGGGAGCGGACCCGCGCCGGCTCCCCGGGGACGGAGCGGCTCCAGGACGGAACGAGGCTCCCGCTGAAGGTCACGTACCGGGAGGCACTGGCCCACAGCTGCCCACGGCCCCGGTGCAGAGCCCCGTCTGTCCGACAGGGGCCGCTGCGCACCTTCTGCACCTCTGTCCTCCAAACCCTGGTAAGTTCGCTGCACGATTGTGAGAATTGAAGGAATGAATTTATGCAAAATCCCGAGAACAGCCTGACATCAGTTATAATTTATGTGCTACGTATTCTTGGTTTCCTTTACTTAACACATTGCGGCGGATCGCGAGCGTTCTCGTGCTTTCATATTACACAGTGTGTCACATAATGTTTAAGGCACGCCCCAAAATCAAATACCCATTGCATGTTGAAGTTATTTATTACATGTTCTTACAAGCTACGTCTTTTTAAAGTATGATCCTTTGTAAAACGTTTGTACTCGTTCAATAGAAGCTGATCTGGTCGCTGGTGCACAGTGTGTCCAGCACCCTCTGCCCGGGAGCCTTTGAGTTGCTGCCACCAGGCAGC